GCTGGATTGATGTACATTTTGAAATTAAGGAGAAACTTCCTAACGGTGAGGACAACTAACCAGTGGAACAGCTTGCCTTCAGAAGTTGTAGGTGTTTCATCACTTGAGGTTTTTAACAAAAGACTGTACCGCCACCTGTCTAAAATGGTATAGGGTCTCCTGCTCAAGCAGGACGTTGGACTAGAAGACCTCCAAGGTCCCTTCCAGTTCTATTCTGATTGATTGAAGTAGACAAAGGCAACATCAATCTGCACTCTTCATTGATGGCCAAAAGTGAAGATTATATATAACCATGCTTTAATGCTCTCGTCGATAAAGAGAGTCATTGATATGTAATTCTACAGAGGACAGTAGTAGTATACTTTGGCAAGACCATGAAGGATAACAATATATAAAAATAGGGCTTTTTCTAGTGATCCTAGTAGGTCATGAAAGTTGGATTCTGAGAAAGAGGAAGAGAAAGAAGATAGATCTTATAGATTTGGAGCCAATTATCAAGAGTGCCATGGACTCTAAAAAGATAAAATCAGTCATGGATGAAATAAAGATTAGTTCCTTGATGTGATCATCAGCGAGGAGTAACTCACATGCTTGGGGAATGTGTGATAAGCAGGTAATGATTAAAAAATATTATGCTTAACAAAATTGTAGTAAGTAGAAGTGAAAAGTAATGGATAGACTAGGTCAGTGTTTCCTAACCTGAGTAACTTTAAGATGGGTGGTCTTCAACTCCCAGAATTCCCTAGCCAGGAAGCTGACTGGGGAATTCTGGGAGTTGAAGTCCACATATCTTAAAAGTTGCTTAGATTACAAAATGCTGAACCCGATAGAACGAGCTAAAAGATTTCTGGAAATGTTGATGCTGCAGACTGTTCAGAATGGCCTGCATTGTCTCATTTACTATTATTATCAGCCATCAGGCTCAAATTTAAGGCCTTTAACTGTGATTACAGCTGGAGGAGGAGATTTCCACGCTAATGATGACCATTTTGTATTACCTATAGGATATCTGGGGAAAAAAAACAGTCCAACATTGGTATAACCAATGTGTATAACACAAAAAGTTGAAGGCATTAAAGACAACATTTCTAGGACAAACTTGATTTGGAGCAGTCTTTTTGAAAGGTTCACTGTAGAAAATTCTGGTGCCAATCCAATTTATATCTGTTTCCATACAATAGTATGGGATCCCCGAAAATCATTGGGGAAAATGATAAATTCAGCCAGATTTGTTATGTTCTTAATTTCAATGTAGAATTTGTTTCTTTTTTTGCACATGGGAATTGTTTCTTTGCATCACCGTTTATTGTTGCTCCTTCCCTCCCATGTGCCGTTTCAGGCAAAATGCAGAATTTATAATGTCTCTCCAGTGTCAGTTACTAATTTTTTTTAACATAGGGACAGAAAAACTGATGCAATTAAAGAAGAAAAGAAACCAAGCTTGCAAAGTGGTGACTACTCTGGAATAATTATAAAATGCATAAACACAGTTTAATACTTTAGTGTATGATTCTGTCTAGACTGGCTTTCAGAGTGAAGTTGAAACTAATTTCTTAATGCCATAGCATGACAGATAATATATAAATATAGCAAGATAGATAGGAGTTTCGCTTCTCTTAAACTGGGCAGATGGTACTTAAATCATTTTGTTTCCTATAAAAGATGGATGATATGTGAATATTTTTTTTACTGTCTTTGCTGGAATATGTCTGCTATAACCAGCTGTCCTCAGTGAGCACTGTTTATGTCTTCAAATGTTTGTTTCCTGTTAGCATAGTAACAATGCTCAGAGAATGTATTTCTAGATATCAATACCACGTGAAAATTTCATTTTACTGGGTTATTGTTTTGTGGCTATGTCTGTGGCATCTTTTGAAGTAGTAAGACTAGTCTATAATGTATAGGTTAATTGTAATTTAGTTTCACCTTAATTAAATCACATTATGTTCAAAGGGAAAATCAATCAAATCTTAATGCAGAGAAATAAGGACTACATCAGTTGAAACTAAAGATGAGCGTTCACATATATTTGTAATTTTCTATAGCAATCCTTTTCTCCTCAGGTTCCCATTCCTTGAGGGGGGGAAATCCTCTGGTAAAATTTGCTGGTATGGGAGAAAAGTGAGACTATAATCAGAATTAATCAGCAAAATCAATCAGCATAATAAGAATTATCCCATATACCCTTACACTTTCTTTCACATTCATACAATTTGTTCTATTTTTATTCCTTTCTCTTCCTTTTTCTTTCCTTCCCTTTCTTTCTGCCTCTCCACTTCCTTTTTTTCCACTCTAGTCTTCCCAACTAAGTGTCCTCCTTTACTCATCCACTGCATACCACAATGGGACAAAGAGAGAAAGAAATTTCCCATTTATATGTATGAATTTTCCCTCTAAGCTTAACTGCTGTGTTAGGTAAAAGTAAGGAATGACTACTTCTCTGCAAGTTGTATCCAACCTCTGAGCCAGTTTACACACCTACAAGTGAAGACTTGATGTTGAAGAGAAGCAAAGAGTTAGTTCATTAATGCTAGATATGTCCAGTAGACTAGATCTCAGCAGACTATTCATCCCAGCATTTAGATTATTATTAAGATTTTAAATCTATTTTATTTTGCATAAAGGTATCTTTGGGGGATTACAGTATACTGAACACCAGTGTTTGTCAACTTCAGGAGGTGTGGATTTCAACCCCCCAAATTATCCAGCCAGCAGATAGCCTGAGGAATTCTGGATATTGAAGTCCACACATCTTAAATTGGTACACTTGAAAAACACTGCTGTACTCTGTAAAGTCATCCTGATTGAAGTGATACATATGTTCAATATTCGCTCACTTAATCAAAGTGAGCTCCTATATGATTTCTATAGATGCAATTCACCATGTTTTTGCCAACAACATGTTGTTGTTAGTTGCAAAGTCGTGTCCGACCCATCGCCACCCCATGGACAACATTCCTCCAGGCCTTCCTGTCCTCTACCATCCTCTGGAGTCCATTTAAGCTCATGCCGACTGCTTCAGTGACTCCATCCAGCCACCTCATTCTCTGTCGTCCCCTTCTTCTTTTGCCCTCAATCTTTCCCACCATTAGGCTCTTCTCCAGTGAGTCCTTCCTTCTCATTAGATGGCCAAAATATTTGAGTTTCATTTGCCAACAACTACAGAGAAACAATGTTTGCATAGTCTTCTGAAGGCCAGAGTAGAGCTTTGGGGGAAACAGAAGCAAAAAAATAAATATTTTCTTCTGTTGGTACCAGGACTTGTTGCACAGAGTTTAGATTTCATGGAAATGTCAATTTCATGGTATTTTGCTATACATTTGAAAATAAGTTAAATATTTTGTACATTTATTTATGAATAGTAGATACTCTTTTGATCTGAATAAACACATATCATAATCTCTGTGCAGCTATTCTCCTTTCAACTTACTTGTGATACAACTCAAAGCAAAATACTTCTGAGTCAATATGCACAAAATTAGACTGTATGCTTCCATCTGCAAATTATGGAAGCTCATCAAATTCCTCATGTACTTCATCCAACTTGGATTTTGAAGCTGCAATTCTGTTATAAAAGTTACACACTCCTCTAAATTCTTCAAATTATACAATTTCGCCAATGCAGTATATTTACCAGTCAGGAAGTTTCTGTACAGTGCTACATGATGAGGCCCATAATATCTAGAAAGGTTTGATTTATTGATTTGTGTATGTGCCAGCAAGTCATTGTTGATTCCAGATCCATAGTTGCTCAGTTCTGATATGAGTAAGAACAATTTTGCCCTTCCACTTCAGCAGAATCCTATAGCATTGCCAATAATTTGTTCAAAGCAATTGCATAGGGAGGCCCAAGCTTACCTGCAGATGTACATTCTCTGTTTGAATGGAAAAGAGAGCCATAGACTGAAAAACAGGGAATCCCATTTTTTACTGGTAAGACCTACCCCACATGGATATGGGATATGTCAGAGGTGGGTTTCAGCAGGTTCTGACCAGTTCTGGCGAACCGGTAGCAGAAATTTTGAGTAGTTCGGAGAACCGGTAAATACCACCTCTGACTGGCCCCACCCCCATCTCTTCTCTGCCTCCCGAGACCCAGCTGATCAGGATGAAATTGTGATTTTGCAGTAACCTTCCCCTGGAGTGGGGTGGGAATGGAGATTTTACAGTATCCTTCCCCTGCCACGCCCACCAAGCCACACCCACCAAGCCATGCCACACCCGCCAAGCCACACCCACAGAACCGGTAGTAAAATATTTTGAAGCCACCACTGGGATACATTATAGGCAGGCCCCTATCCCATATGTTGCCACTCAAAGGGAATATTATTTGTTTGTTTTATTAAATAGATTTTATATGGCCACCCACCTCACGTGGACGCCACATAAAATTTATGGTAACGCCACGTGTTGGGAATAAAATGCCTACCTAGAGAAAAATCCTGCCCTTATATTCAATTACTAAACCTCTTTTATAACAAACACAGACACACAAATCTACAAAATAGTCCTATTAGACCTTTTTTTTGTTTTTAGGATAGCTGTGCCATTTTGTCCTTCAAGTCTACATGCCAATCATTAAAACCATTTGAGTGTGTCCCTTGTCTTTTACCTAAGACCTAATTAAAGTCTACAGTTTTTAAAATGTGGTAGCAGTAAGTTCTGTCCTTCTGTATCGATGTTTTAAGTTGCTCTTTTATAAATGTTCCTTCTTTTGTTTTTGTCCTTGCTCTCTCTCTCTCTCTTTCTCTCTCTCTCTCTCTCTCTCTTTGTTTTAGCAACTTGTGATCGCAGAGTGCTGAAATAATGCAAAGTCCTCAATCCCACACTTAAGCCTTTCCATACTCATGCTTCTCTCTGAAATGTTTTTGGTTTGGGTTTTTTGATTGTTGTCTTGCTGTGAACTTTGCAGATTTCTTTCTGAGTGCCACTGTGCTTCTGCTGCATCAGCATTGTCACCGTGATGGTATTTTTTTTCTTTCTGTCTGTTTCTTCCACAGGAGCTTAACAAGTAATCTGCCCAATGTGAATCTACCAAATGTGAATCTCCCTAAAGTTCCAAACCTACCAGTTAACATCCCACTAGGCATTCCTCAAATGCCTGCCTTTTCTGCACCGTCATGGATGGCTGCTATCTATGATGCTGAGTGTGTATTCAGTTCAATAGATCTCATTTCAAGCAAAAAAAACAAACAAACAATCTTGGCATGAATATGAATTGTTCATTTTGAGTCAACAGATCTGAAAAGGGAACCATTGCAAAAGACCAATGGGAATGTCTACCCCAAACTACCCGAAAGGCAGGCAGCAGGCATTGAAATTGGGCAGATGGGCATTTTATTTTATTTTATTTTATTTTATTTTATTTTATTTTATTTTATTTTATTTATTTATTTATTTATTTGATTGTTATTTGACAAAATTGAACACGTTAAAGATTTTTTTAAAAAATTCTGTTTCACACTGGAATCAATAGTCTTCGGGTTAAAATTGGTCTTTCCAGGATCCCATGGTTGCATATACTTCTAAATGTGAGCCAAGAAATATCTATCGGGGTTTTTCTTTTAATTAAAAAAAATGCATTCAAAAAGAGAGAGATTGTTCTCATTAACTACTTCGGGATCTAAAATCTAATCTGTTTTTGTTTGTTTCGTTCCTAATTTTCTGAATGATTGTCCAGAATAATAAAAATAATCCTCTCATTTTTGGAAGGGAGGCATCTAGAAAATATATAGTAGTACCCCAATTATTCTTGTTTAGTCCTATACATATGGAGAGCAAACTGATGGCCTATGTTGAATTTCCATGCGGTTGCTAATGATTCCAGTGATACTAACTAGCCTAGATTATCTCAATATGGAGAACATTTTTATATTTTAAATAGCCTGAGATTAAAACCATCCCTCCCCAGTCCTTCTGCCTCTATTATTGCTAAAATCCTGTTCTTCCATGCAAGTTTTTTTTTTTTACAAAAAAAAAAGATGGAATCCAAAAAAAAATGTGCATTAAAAGTCACAGCTGTTTACTTGCCCATGGACCCTGCAGATTATAACATAGTCTATCTACATAGTCTACTCTGGACATTTCCCAGGAGATCTCTGCATCTGCTACTAAAAAGAGATCTGAATTTCTGTGATTACAAACATCAGTTTTGTTTAAGAATAGAGCCAATTATTTCTGGACAAATATTTGACATCATACTTTTGGTTGTTGTTTTTTTAAATGTTGCCACAATACATTTCCTCATTTGCAGGAAATCTTTGTTCTTCCAAAGAAATATGCTTGACTGCTTTGCAACTCAAGGAAATGTTAAGATTTTTTTATCTTGTCTTTTCTTTCTTTCTTTCTTTCTTTCTTTCTTTCTTTCTTTCTTTCTCCCTTCTTCCTTCCTTCCTTCCTTCCTTCCTTCTCTCCTCTCCCTCTCTCCCTCCCTCCCTCTCTCTCTCTCTCTCTTTCTCTCTCTCTCTTTCTTTCTTTCTTTCTTTCTTTCTTTCTTTCTTTCTTTCTTTCTTTCTTTCTTTCTTTCACCGGACAAATGCACACAACAGGAAATAGGGACACAAGATGACAATTTTGTAAACAATTTATTTTATTTTTACATACATGGTAATGAAATGTCATCTTCTGAATCTCTTCTTGTCATGCATCATTTCGTGACAGAGGTATCTGGCACATTTTAAAGTTGCTTTTGGTGGCATATCTGTGTCAATGCATTTGTTCATTTGTAAGGACCAGCAGAAATATAATGCTGGGAATAAGAATCCCCCAGTACAGAAACAAAGTTAATAACAGCTGTAGATTATTATTTTATTATTATTGTTTTCAGTCAAAATGCACCCATTATGCATATGTATTCTCTTGCAGGCAAATAGTGTCTGGAATAACAAAACATGGTTTATTCAATGTTTGATTTCAGATGACGTGGAAGTGCACCCTTGTGATTTCAAACCATGCTTATTTCTTTGTATTGTGTACAACCAAGCTATGGTTCAAACAAATCACAATGTGATTATGATGTCCCGACTGGGACATTTCGTGTTGTTCAGAGGAAATGTATCTTTTCAACTGACATTATACAGATTCAATCTAGTCAATCACTATCACTTTATCTTTTGTTAACTTTTTTTTAAACGTACAACATGTTCTGATCATAATCAAATTTCCCATGTGGCAACAAATGATAATAAAGTCAAATTATAATAAGAATGTTAGTTTGAACAAGTTCTTCTTTTTTTTTAGAACAATCATTCAGGAACAGGAATCCATTTTTAAATTTCTAAGTTGAGATTTTTTTTTTCCCCAAACCACAACGATTTTAAATTGCAAATGAAATGAATAGCTGTTCAAAAAAAATGTTTGCAATTCATATTCATGTTAAGCTGATTTATGAAAGGTTAGATTAGATTAGGCAGTCTATGTAATGGAAAAAAAAAAACCTACTTTGCTCTGTGCATGCTGTGTGATATTGTTCCATTTTACTTTCTTTTTGAAAAGATAAGAATCAAGGCCTTAATCTTACACAGGGTTCCTCAGAGTAAGTCTCGTTGAAAATGACACATACTCATGAGTGCAGATATTTAAGATCAGAGCCCCCAGCCGTTGCAATAGAGCAGTCGCTGCTGAATATGCCACTAAACTTCCCGGTTTGAAATCTTTAAAAATCCAAGGAGCTCTCGAAAAAGGAAAAGCCAAAAACAACCTAGCGTTCTTTTTTTTTTATTTGAAATTTCTAGAAGCAGATGGGTGTCATCATGTTGTAATAATAAGTAACAGTTATTTCATTCCTGGCTACCTAATTGCTTAAAACAAAAGCATTCCGTTCCAAAACACTATTTTTCCAAAAGCAGGATTATATTGGGTTTGAAAAAGAAAAAGGTAAACATTTTCAAATGTATATCTGAACCAGGAGAAACTGGAACTAAGCTGAACCAATCAAGTTTCTAAATCCATGTACAGGTAGTCCATGACTTACAACAGTTCGTTTAGCAACCGTTCAAAGTTATAACAACACTGGAAAAAAGCAATTTAGGACCACTTACCACACTCATTATGGTTGCAACATCCCCATGGTCACATGATTTACATTTGGATGCTTGACCGCCGACTCATATTTATGACGGTTGCAGGGTCCCAGGGTCATGTGATTCCCTTTTGTGACCTTCTGACAAGCAAAGTCCATGGGGAAGCCAGATTCACTTAACCAATGTGTCACTAATTTAAGAACCGCAGTGATTCACTTCACAAACGTGACAAGAAAAATCGTAAAATGGGGCAAAACTCACTTAAGAAATTTCTCACTTGTCAACGTAAATTTTGGGCTCATTTGTGGTCGTAAGTCGGGGGCTACCTGTATGCTATAGTATTTCTTTGATGGTCTGTTCTTCAAGAAAATGCCTGATTCTCTATCTTTTCATTGATTCCGGTTCCCTTCTACCCATTTAGGAACATGCTTCAGTGTTTTCACCCCCCTATCTCAATATGTCTGTTTTCTACAACTAAGTCAGTGCATTGTTTGAATAATTACCTTTGTTGGCTTAGGATTCCAAGAGCCCCTTGGCATGTTGGGAATATGGTTTCCACTTGTGCGTTTAGCTTTATCTTCCCTACTGTAGCATTAATTCAATGCGGCTGGCATCGGTTACAATAGAAACAGTCTTCCTCATTTGTTTCTATAGACGATATCAGCATGACATGACAATGCATGGTGTGTCAAATATCAGTCACTGTGTTAGCATTAGTGGTATGCGAGGAGTGGGAATAATATCTTGAAGCTGCCTTGGTCATAATCATTATGGGGGGGAAAATAAGAAAAGGAAGGAAGAAAGGGTAGTAAATAGATGTATAAATTTCTCAGCGTAAAACATAATGTAAAATTTACCTTATGAGTGGAGGCATTAGGCATAATTTTAGCTGAACAGAAGTCTAATCGGCAGCGAGACAGGATACCTCCAAATATATGAGAAAAATCTGAACAAGAAAACAAAACAAAACAGAACAAAACAAAAACCTTTCAGAAACCTGGTTAAGTATATTGATCCCTCCTTCTCCAAAATAATTTTATTTCATAAACAAAAACAGGTCAAATGGTTAGTAAACTCAACTCTTTCTGAGCTAAGTTTTTTTTTAAAAAAATGTCTCGTTGTGAATAATTGCCTTACCCTGATTCATTTCCAGCTGTTCAAAAAATCAAGTCCTCGCTCACCACTTGTTAGCACTGTTTTTTTTTCCCCCCTCGAAACCCTTGCGATAAAGGAAGTGGGGGAGAAAAGGAAAGAGAACAAATCTGGTAATCTGTGAAAATAAAATGCATGAAACCTAAAAATAACCACATGCAATTGTGTAGTGCGGTTATTATCAAGTAGAGATGTCCTTTACTTTGTAGAGCCTTCAATTCAACAACTACAGAAGGAAATGTGGTTATTGAAAAGGGCTGAGTTTTTTTCCCCCGTACGCGGTGTTTCCAGATGAATGTCCATTTCTTACATTACTTGTCTTCTCCGTCTGATCTGGAAAGACTTGTAAGAGATAGGTAGACTAGAAAACCCGACAAGCCTGATGATGGAGATTCCCCATGGCATTGTTCTGTGTCTCTGGTCACTGTTACACCCCGTTCCGTGTGTAAGAATGATCTCCACATCAGGATTCCAAAATCAGTGAGCCGGCTGTAACCTGGTTGTTTCTTATTTTTCATTTTATCCTGGCAGCAATGGATCAGGAACATCAGAAGATCTGTTTTGGAAACTAGATGCCTTACAGACCTTCATCAGGGATCTACACTGGCCTGAGGAAGAATTTGGGAAACACTTAGAACAACGACTAAAACTTATGGCTAGTGATATGATTGAATCCTGTGTAAAGAGGTGGGTTGAAATATGAAAATCGCGAAATGGAAATAATTCTAGTTGCTAGAACTTACACATTATTTTTTAGCCACCTTTTTAAGACTTGAACAAGCCTGACTCTGAATTAAATACCAGTCCTTACTACATTTTGGATTAGAGGGACACAGAGTTTTTGGGAATTAGTTGGCTCTAATGGTTAAAACACTAGGCTTTTAGAAACCAGGAGGCTGTGAATTTTAATCTCACTTTAGGCATGATAACTGGTTGGGTGACCTTGGGCCAGTCACTATCTTTCATCCCAATTCCTTTGTTGCTGTGCAAAAATAAGAGGAGATAGGAGTATTATGTTCATCCCCTTGAGTTATTTATAAATATAATAAAGGTGGGATTTTTTTAAAAAAAAAACTTTTATTGTGGAAAAAAATCAGTAATGGTGGCTACCTTCTCTATCAGACAGTCTTTTCCAAATTGTAACTCTACTTCCAAACAGAACTATATGAAATGGAAAATATGGGTTTACTGCCCAAAAAAGCACTTTTTCTCATTTTCACCTTTCATCACATGTTATCTGATGCACTTAATCAAGACATTGGATTTACCTTACTTCACTTACTTCACTGCCTCTCTTGGGTTACTTGCTAGAGAAGATGGGAATACAAGGAAGAGCTGAAGTATAAACAGGGAGCTCCTAATTATACAAACTCAGTCTTCCCTGTATGATTTTGTCATGTCTGAAAATAAAATTTAAACTCAGCAACTTTATTAGGGTTGCTGGAGCTCTGTATCATTTTTATATGTTTTGCTATGGAGCTGGTGTGTAGGTGTGTAGAAAAATCTAACTTACAGTTGCTTATGTGTCAATTATGAAGAGAACAGGCAAGCAGGAAACATTGTGAAAAAATATTAAATATAAAGTCACTGTGCAGTCAACCAATTAACAGGTTTAAGTTGTGCTTAAAACAGAGCAGCTTCCTTTCATTCTGTGAGTCTTCTTTTTTGGTCCCTGTTATACTTCAGTTACAAATTAGGTAATACCAGCCATATTATAGGAATGCATTTTTATCACTTGCTGTAATAACATCATCACACTGTTTAATTAATATGGGAAGGTACTTACTAATTTTCTTGTCTCTCGATATAGAAATAGAAACAGTCTGAAGAGTATGACTAAAAATGTGACAAAAATTATTTGCCAAATTGGTTTCAAAACAGATAGAAGCCAAGTAAAATGTCCCTCTTACTAATTTCCTTGATACCACCAAACACAAAGTGTTGGTTATTATCTGAGGAGCCAACTTGCCCCAGTGGGATTGTCCCGCCCTACTCACTCCAGTGGAAGGGACTTGCTACAGACTCCGTCCGTCGATGAATTTCGGCTGATGGAGTCAAAGAGAAGAGCCTTTTCCACAGTGGGCCCCACCCATTTGAACATTCTGCCACAGGAGGTGAGCACTGCCTCCACCCTTCTGGTGCTTGAGAAAGGCCTTAAAAAATCTGTTTTTGCTGACTAGCTTTGAAAACTCTTTGGTTTGAGGTGCTTCACAAGATAGGAGGAAAGACCTCACCCCCATGCCATCCATCTCCTTGTTTTGAATTCTTATTTAAATATTATTAACATTAACTGGTTTTATATTTACCTTTTTACTATTTTGCAAGCTGCCCAGAGTCACTTTATCAGTGAGATTGGTGGCATATAAATTTAATCAATCAATAAATAAACTTCTGTTTAAGAAACATTATGAAGGACATTATGGTCCAAAAAGTCAAGATAGCAGCCACTATGATTCATTTGAACCTCCACCTTTTTTATGTGTGAAAACAGGTAAAGGTTTGGTCACACCACTATGACTGCCATCTTAACTTTTTTTTTAATCATACCCTATGATTAAAATCATACCCTGGCCATACCAACATAGCTGGCTTGATTTCTTTTTTCTTCTGACCTTCACATCCTGCAGTGTCCTTTGCTCTGAAGCCTTTGGATCATTGGTGAAATCCAAATTTTTTTACTACCTGTTCTGTGGGCGTGGCTTGGTGTGGCTTGGTGGGCGTGGCAGGGGAAGAATACTGCAAAATCCCCATTCCCTCCTCACTCCTGGGGGAAGGATATTGCAAAATCTCCATTCCCACTCCACCCTGGGGCCAGCCAGAGGTGGTATTTGCTGGTTCTCCGAACTGCTCAAAATTTCCGCTACCGGTTCTCCAGAACCTGCTGGATTTCACCCCTGCTTTGAATTGTGTTGCATTGATCACAAGGATTATTTAATGCAGTATATTTATACCTTAGCCAAACATCTTTCTTTCTTATTTTTAATCATGCTTCATAGAACCCGGATTGCATTTGAAGTAAAGCTACAGAAAACAAGCCGATCAACAGATTTCCGAGTCCCTCAGTCAATATGCACCATGTTTAATGTTATGGTTGATGCCAAAGCTCAATCAACAAAACTTTGCAGTATGGAAATGGGCCAAGAGGTAAAATGCATTATGAAAAAAATGTGATTTTTGAAAGAGAAAAGGTCTGCAAATTTTGCTAGATTCAGAAATGTTCTAACACAGAGACTATGCAGATGAAAATCCTGGATCAATCCATCAAATCAGCCTACATAGTGCAGATAATCAGATCCATGGTCACCTAGTGGTGACCTCTGGCAAAGATTGATGTGCACAACATACCTACAACATAGCCTATTTATGCTCAACAGTATGCAATATTGAGTCATTAATTCAACCTTGGAATCTTTTTCCCTCAAAATGTTGATCTGTCCAAGTTGAAAAGAAAACATTATTTTGACTACCATAAAAAGCATAAATACCTAAACTAATGTCTTTATGAAGGGATGCAGTGGCTCAGTGTATAAGACGCTGAGCTTGTCGATCGAAAGGTTGGCAGTTCAGCGGTTCAAATCCCTAGCGCTATCTAATGGGGTGAGCTCCCGTTACTTGTCCCAGCTTCTGCCAACTTAGCAGTTCGAAAGCACGTAAAAAATGCAAGTAGAAAAATAGGAACCACCTTTGGTGGGAAGGCAACAGCGTTCCATGCGCTTTTGGCATTTAGTCATACCGGCCACATGACCACAGAGACGTCTTCAGATAGCGCTGGCTCTTCGGCTTTGAAATGGAGATGAGCACCACCCCCTAGAGTCAGGAACTACTAGCACATATGTGCGAGGGGAACCTTTACCTTTACCTTAATGTCTTTATAGGGACTGCTTTTAAAAAGGCAGTCTCCAGATGTTAGTTTTAACATACTTCAAGGTCCTTAATGACTCAGCTGCTTCAAACTGGTCCAGTTTTATCATCTGCTGATTTAATTTGTTTTCCTTTTCAAGATTATAACCTAATGATTATAACCATTATAACCTGAGGTTTTCTAATTCTAATGTAATATGATGAAGTAGAAAGACATGCTGAATTGAGCTTGATGAAATGTTTCATCTGAATCAGTTTTGCTCAGAAGACGTCAACATTTTTCATCTCCATTTAAGACCAATCCAGGGTTTGGATTTTTCTATCACATTTTCAGTAATGCAAGCTATTCAATGTTTCATGTGCAGAATCTATTTCCTATGTGTTCCAATTCAATTTTTTGTTTTGTTAAACGTATACCTAATCTGGATACTTTAAAGATCCAGAAAGAGGGACTGGATTCAGTGTGAGATTGGGCTCACCATATAACCGGTCAGTTCCTTTTGTTTGCATTTCTTTTTCTTGCTTTAATCTATCATTTCTTTATGTTTGTTTTGTTTTAGCTATCTTTTGTGATTTATTCCAAGATGCAAATTTACAGTTATGGGTGCTAAAACATTTCCCTCACCAAAACCCAAATTTAATTTGTAACCAACCCCCTATGCTTTTTGGTCCATACATAGCTTCAATACCAAGAATCTCAAGCTTTTCTCTTACGTCATCTCAATTTGTGCAGCTTTTCATTCTGCTTTTGCAGATAATACCCCATGAAAAAATATCAGAATAGGCTCCTCCCTTTCCAAAGTCCATTGCAGCTCTGCCTTTATATCCATATGTATGAAAGGAAGAGAGAAGGATAAGAACTAATCACAAACTTTCAGTGATTTTCCTTAATCTGAGAAGAGCGCAAAGTTAAAGACGTGAGTGCTACCAAAACTCTTTTAAAGATTTGGCATGATAAGATTCCAATCACTATAGTAAAAAAAAAAACATTTTTATAGTAAACATATAGTAAAAAAAAAATATTTCACCAAACAGATGCTAGACTTTTGTTTAATATACTGCAAGCTAATGAGGAAATATTCTGAGCTGAAAAGCTCAGAGAACAGGAAGCCTACATATACACACATTTTACACACACACAAACACATCTATGTCGATAGTCCCCGAGGACTATTCAATTATGGTAGGTAACAAATAAATAAATACACCATTCACATCACACATGGACCACATTCTCATAGTTGTTCATATACACCATTCACACAACTCACACCAACCCCTCATGCTACAAACCACTATCGCAAACTCTCATCCAACATGCACGTGCCATCTTCACTCCATTCCCTGTAAGTTGGGAGGAACATGAAAAATGTTTCAGTGATAATCGTTTCCTTGATATTTAGAGCCATAAAGAACTGTCACTTTCCTTCCATCTCCCTCTCATTGCGTCTCTTCACCCAATGTCTGTTATTATTACTGCAGTAGTTAAATTACAGCTTCAGAAAGTACTAAAGCAGGTTAGAAAAAGGTTAGCAAAAAAGCTTATGGAGATTCTCAGTCATCCAGGTCATGGTTGTCCCAAAAGTGCTTTTTCAAAAGGCAACTGGACTTGGTTTTTTCTTGAAGACGTTTCGCTTCTCATCCAAGAAGCTTCTTCAGCTTGGATGAGAAGCAAAACAAACGTCTTCAAAAAAAAACAAAATCCAGTTGCCTTTTGAATAGCACTTTTGGGTTAGCAAAAAAAAAAAAAAGGTTACACACATGTGAAAAGCTACAAAATAAGCCTTGGAGAATATGATCCCCCAGAAAAAAAAAGAGAAGAGTTTTGGTTGTCCATAACCATTTGATTTTCTGCGAACAAAGTTTCTTTTTAAAATGTTTTCTCTTTAAACATTCAGTACCTGTTTTTCAGTACTCCTGGTTTGTATCTCATAATTCCCATCAGTAAGAAAACCTATTAACCAATGCTCAGCACTATCCTTATAGCTTCATCCTTATACCACAACTAAAAGTAGTCTTGACTCACAAATTTTATACTGTAGCATTTAATTTAACTAGCTGTCAGATTTATTTCTTACCAGGTACAAGGCAAAAGCCACATCAGCTTACTTTGCCCTACCCAAATATCCAATATGATTTGTTACTCATATTATATTTCCAGAGCTACAACCATCATGGCAATAAATTGATAACAATCAATTGAGTTGTGCAAAGAATCATCCTTTGTACACTTTAGTACATCCATGTCTGCTTTGTAGAGAACATATGCAGAGATCCCACAGTGATTGTACTGTATAAAGTAGCATTTACTGTAGTAAAATATTTTAAACAAATAGCAAAATCTAGCAGAGCCATGGATCAGATGTGAATTATCAGTGCATATGTTACTGTCTCATATATGTTTCTGTTTTTTACTCTCTCTTTTGTTTGCTCTTTTATTCATTTCAGTTAATCGTGCCCCTTTTCTCTTTGATTTTTTCCTCCCTGTTCCTCTTAAAAATGAAAAATTCACACTTAAATGAATGGTTGTGTGTAACTCCTGACAATTATACTAGATTTTCTTTCTATCTCCTTCCTCAAAAAATAAGAAGGGTAATACTGGATTTTTACTATCATACAAGGTCCATGTATGTCTTTAATTCAAGAGAAAGAAATATGCTCATTTTTACTGCATTTTAATCTCCTGCTGTCCATGTTGGATGCAGTGGGGATGTTGTGTCCATTCCCGATCTAAGAATTGACGTTATCACTCCCAGGCTCACCTGAATACCCTAGCCTCTTTTCAGTGGGAATCCTCAGTGGTTCTCACATTTTTCATTTCTTCTTTTTAATAAATATCTCTCTTCTTTACTCATCATACAGTTGATCAAATTTTTACCCTACGTGGCAACAATCAATTTGCAATAGTTTCTCTTCTCAGCAGGTAATGGAATTGGCTGGTCAAACAAAGAAATTTGATTAATGAGCTTAAACAAAATTTCCCTACTTCCACACTAGTCTTGAACAATTTCAGGGCAGAAAGAATTCATTTTATACGGTCGCTTCATTTCTGAAATATTCAGTTTCTTTGAGTTGAGAAAAATACAAGTACTACACCGTAAGGCTTTCCCACCATAATGATCCCATAAAGTTTGTTGCAGGTTTTTTTTTTGTATGATCAGAAATAGAATAATTAAATACATTTTAGGGAAAATATTATGCTGAACACATATGCCCATATTCTCCTGTGTCCTTATATTTAAAGGCAGCTGTTCAGACATTTGGCAGACATAATTTACCCCTTAAATATTTTTCCTCTGAATTTTTAATGTATGGACAGGCAGAAATGTATATAAAGAACATGTTGAGTTTGATCTGGTATGTTTTGTTTCATTTCCAAGGTCAGCTTTGGTCACTGATGAAAATGCAGCATATACACAATCTGTTAGCAGTTCTATAGTGCCTCTCACATACAGTTACTCAAATCAGATGGAATCTGCTTAGGAAACTTCATCTATCAAGAAATAAGGCTAAAGTTTCCAATAGTTTGGGATAATTTGAAATAGCAAGCCACTCCTGAAATGCGTTTTAGCTAATGCAAGCGCCTATCATGGTACAGTGTAACTTCTTAGTCCAATTATCCATATTTATTTATTTATTTGGGGTTTTTTTGTACTACACCCTAAAGTAAAGAAAATGTCAAGATGAAAACAAGGTTACAAAAACATTAGAAGGAGTTAGTATAGAAGCGGGGGGGGATAGAATTCACAGAGAGAAATGTGAATGAATGAAGAAACAAATCTATAAGGCAACTGAAGGTTATAGTGGAAAGAATCTTTTGAATGCCAGAGAGAGAAAGTATTCCAAGAAATTAATACTATTGATGGCTCAGTATGGTTAATACTTGGCTGTTTGAGGTGGCCTGGAGAATGGGAAAGTGAGAAGAAGCATCAGCATATGAGGTCACCAATTCTGAAGCAGACGGCAGCATCAATAAAGGAGAACACTTGTAGCTCGAGATTGAAATGAAGGGTCCTTGGCGCTCTCTGAGCTTGGTTGTTTTCTTGCAGACATTTCATTACCCAAACTATGTAACATCATCAGTGCTAATCAGTGCTAGTCAGCACTGATGATGTTATCTACTTCAGGTAATGAAACATCTGCAAGAAAACAACCAAGCTCAGAGAATACCAAGGACCCCAAGATGACAATGCAAGATGCAGCTATTGTAAATACAATTCAGAGCAAACTCAATAATTCACTTCCAAATATCTGGAGTAGAATAGCAATGTAGGGATGGCAGG